GAACTTTATCGACAGTGACACAGTGAACAAAATGAATCCTAGAAGACTTCTGAACTACAATTTCTCTAATCTCCATCCATCCGTCATCCTAACCCCTTATCCCTTAACTCATTGGCTGCCAAAGACGTCTATAGAGGTCTTTTATGTTTTTCAATGCAAGTGTCTGGGGGACGATCTGCTAAAGCTTGTCCGTAAATATGGGCTTCTAGACAGAGTATGTAGTAACAAATTGACCCTCTAGGGGGCAGTGCCACTTTTGATGGGAGATGAGCATAGACTGTAGGCAAATAAGAAAAAGGGAACGGTTCTATGAGAGAACATGTCGCCGGTGAGACGCAAGTCCAGGAAGAACGGAATAAGGTAGAAACACATTTTTTTTCCTGATGAAAGAAGAGAGTCTACTCTTTCTTTTGGTGTGTTCGGTGTTTACATAGTCATAGCACAAACTATTCTGTGGCTCTTGAAAAATCAGTCAAAATGCTCAAAAAACTCTGGCAGTATGGGACTCTGTTCTGAAAATGGCTGCCAGTCAATGAGTTAATGGGGTCGGGGGGGCGGAGCCTATCCCAGTAGCCAATGGGGAGAGACGGGGTCCCCAGTCCGTCACAGGGACACACAGAGACACACAAGGACCAACAACCACACACACTCACACTAAGGGCAGTTTGGAGTCCAACAACCTGACATGCAGGTTTTTGGAGGGTGGGAGGAAGCCGGAGAACCCGGAGAGAACCCACAGACACAGGAGAACATGCAGAACCACGCAGAAAGGTCCTGGTTCCCCCGGGACTAGAACCCAGAACCCTCTGGTCCTGGTTCCCCCGGGACTCCAACCCAGAACCCTCTGGTCCTGGTTCCCCCGGGACTAGAACCCAGAACCCTCTGGTTGTGATGGAGCTAACACTTAACCACCTTCTTTAATCTCTTTCTCTTTAATTTCCCAGATTTATTTTATCAACTGAAATCTAAATGTGTATTTCTTGAGATGCTCAATGTGTTCTAACATATTGCTCTGATTTTATTATGTAAAATGTAATATGTATGAATTTCTTGTGGTTTGGCTGCTACCTTGGCCAGGTCTCTCTTGAAAAAGAGATTCCGAATCTCAATGAGACTTCCTGGTTAAATAAAGGTTAAATAAAAAAAATGCACAAATTCTAAAATATGGAACCAAAACACAGTCAAATGAATGTGTAACAAACCTGTGTAAGAAGGGAGGGGGTCTCTAGGCCTGTGCTAAGATCCAGGATGTTGCTTCAACTGTTACACAAACTGGTTCCTTTTTTACTCAATTTCACCTCGAAGAGTTGTTCAACTTTCAAACCAAAAAATATCCCAACACAGTCTTTGTGTATGTGGCTGGTTTTGTAAAACAGGGACTGTAGTCGATGGCTACATTTCTGGATTTAAAAAAATCATTTAAAACTGAATACGTTTTTGTCTTTTGACAATAGGAAGTGTTTTGTAATAGAAAAAAAAACAAGACTACTAATGTTAAGAACCATTTACAGCCAAAAAAAGTGCCACAACAATGTGCATATTGCTAATAGATAGCTTTTAGCGTGGCTAACAGTTAGCATGCTAGGTGTTCCCTCTGAGGCCTGTCTTGGGGTTAGGGTTAGGGTTAGGGTTAGTGTTAGGGTTAGGATTAGGGTTAGAGTTATAGTTATAGTTAGGGTTAGAGTTAGAGTTAGGGTTAGGGTTAGGGTTAGGGTTAGGGTTAGGGTTAGAGTTAGAGTTAGAGTTAGAGTTAGGGTTAGGGTTAGAGTTAGGGTTAGAGTTAGGGTTAGAGTTAGGGTTAGAGTTAGGGTTAGGGTTAGGGTTAGAGTTAGGGTTAGAGTTAGGGTTAGGACTGTGGCCTGGGGGAAATTACTGAGTTGAACCAGTGGCCTTCCACCTTTTCTTTTTTTTTTACATTATAATTACATATACATATAAATTATTTTGCTTTTTATGTTTATTTTTACCTGTACAGCACTTTGGCAACTTTGGTTATTTTAAATGTGCTCTATAAATAAAGTTTGACTTGACTTGGCTTGACTTTTGGTCAAGGGGCGAAAATATTATTTAGAAAACGAGGGCATCCATTTTTTTTAAGTAGGTTGGTGTATAAGTGGTCTGTTGGTTGGTTGTGCGGTTTAGAAAGAGTAAAGCCAGCTGTATGTTTACCATTTTTGGTAAACATGTTATAAATATATAAAATATAAGTCATGCTCATATTGTTTTTGCTATTTTTTATTGTAAAAAAGTCTCTTTTTCTCTCTCAGAGCTCTCTGACTGGTGTTGGTGGCCTGTCAGAATAAATGAATAACCAAAAAAGATATAAAGAATCTGTTATAATACATTTTTGAAATGTTACTCTTGATATTACTATAGATAGATAGATAGATAGATAGATAGATAGATAGATAGATAGATA